TGTGTGTGTGTGTGTGTGTGTGTGTGTGTGTGTGTGTGTGTGTAGCTCGGCTGCTAACCAAAAGGTCAGCAGGTCAAATCCACCAGCCACTCCTTGGACACCCTAGGAGGCAGTTCTACTCTGTCCTATAGGGTCGCTATCAGTCAGAATCAACTCGATGGCAACAGGTTTGTTTGTTTGTTTTGTTTTGTGTGTGTGTGTGTGTGTGTGTGTGTGTGCGTATGTGTAACATGGAGAAAAACAAACTGACTCCCTGTGTCTCATCAAGACTCATGATCAGGTATATATCATAAGAATAAACATTCCTACCTAAGGAACTGCCTCAATCCTTTTCTCTACAAGTGAATTCTGCTCCACTGTTGTACAGCTGTAAACTAGTAAGAGGTATGCATTGGCTGGATGCAGAGGCAGGGCCAAAGCCTTACATATCACCTGTCAAGGGCTGAGCCATAGCATTCCTCCATTCTAAAATATACCAGAGTCAATGCTGTGCCCCAATATTCCTTAGTTTTAGCTTCTGAAGTCCTATGATGCCCATCTCAGATCATTCATTCTCTAGTCATAATGATCCAGACAAGTTTCCACAGTGATGATAGAGGCTTTAACCCTCTAATAATGGCTTAATCAGAGCACTAAGACTTACTAAGATGCATCCAAGGCAGAAAGACAGGGTACACATTGCACATTCTGAAATGTTAAAGAATTTCAACTTAGTAAACCATATTTTCCATATGACCTGCTCTGGGCAACAAATGGCTAAAATACAGGATGGAGGGTGGTTAGAGGATTCATTTCTTAATGTGAGAACAGATCCCAAAAACTTCAAGAAAACCTTTATTTAAAAGGCATGTGCCTGTGTATTAGCTGGAGTATGCCAAACCAAATTCCTTCATTCATTCAAAAAATACTACCATGTGCCAAGTACAAGGTCAAGAGCCAATATATAGATAATATACTGCCCTTGAGAAGCTAATAATCTAATTAGGGAGACATGTAAAAAATGATAATTAGTGTCCACTGTAAAGGTGGTGCTATAGGAACAGAGAGAAGGAAGGGCTGACTCTACCAAGAGAGGTTGCACTGAAAGGCAGCATCTGAACTGGATCTCAAAGGGTCAGTAAGAGACAACCAGCAGTGAGGAAGACGAAGGTCTTATATACAAGTATGCCTCACCAAAATCTCCGAGTCTCAAGTACTGAATGGAAGCTGTTAATAAACACATAATGTACCCTGGAACTTTGCACTGGTATCCACTCTCCTAATACACAATTGAGGGTAAAGACCTTGCATCTTGAATTCTGTCTACAGGGGTTTAGTTACTTTAAAAATCTCATTAAATGGCAGCTTCCCCTATAAAGCATACAGTCATGGACAGTATCACAGGGACTTTCTAATATTCTATTGCTAAAAAATCTATGGCTAATAGATAAAGTCTAAACATCTTGAATTTTCAGAAAGAATGGCTGGCTTTTGGTTAACTGAGGTTTCATAATAGATCTTTCTCATTTCCCATCATAAATGACTACAGAGTGTTAGTCTGTAGCTGTCAAATTACTATTAAAATCCAAAGTAGCAATATCTATAGCTATTACAGACACAATTTTACAAAACCAACACATTATTAAAGTGTTTGAACATTTAGGAATGGCAGGTACTAGGGAAATCAGTTTGTTATTAACCCTTCCTACATCCAGTTTCTCTACTTTTATGTAAACAAGAAAAAAGTCCACACACATGCTGTTCTCCGCAGGCCTCTCATTCCACTCGTATCCAACACCCCAGTCAATTTCACCCACACTTGTCTTACATACGATTATCCTCTGAAAGTTTTATGAAGTAACTGGCCCAACAGATGGGTGGCTAGCCCTGCCCAACATATGTCATAGGAAAAACAGTTCTCAGGCAAGACGAAAATATCGAGCCCCTTCCCCTACAGGGCTGGGAACATTGAGACCCCCTTACGGGAAAGCAAACAAATCTTTTAATCTTTATTTAAAAAAAGTTATTGGAGATGATCTGTAAGTAACAAGGTGATTAAAGAAGGGGAGAGAGAGCTGAAATGCTAAAGTATACTCCCCCTAAGATAAAATATGTACTTGCCCCCACACAGCAGAGAACTGGAATACAGACAGAAAACAAAAATCCCAGTCATTTTAACTGGGAGCTATTTCATCAAAGACAGATGGGTAACAATCAGATAAGCAGACTATCTTGTTCAGAACACAAAGCTCAACAGATCTGTGGGAGGAAAAGGAAAGGCAACCTGGAATGCACAGCACATATCAATAGAAAAACTCAACTAACAAGTGACTCATATGGTCATAACTGTAAAACCAGAAGGAACAGAATGGCAGTGATATCTTTGCTCCTTACCCCTTCCCTGATAGCATCTGATCCTGTCTTCAACTGATGGATATCTGGATCTTTCAACATACTACCTAAGTGCTCCCCAAGGAGAACAGTGAGGCCAATTCTGCCAGAGACAGCATCTGCCAGAACCAAGAAGTCTTATTCTCCTTTGAGTGGAGGCCAGTGGATGGGAAGAGGTCTCCAAATGCTACTTGTATGAACATTTCAAGATATGTTCTGAAACAGGAAAACGCTATGAATTACATTTTAGCAGAAATCTAAAAATAACAAAAGAACATTCCCTATTTTTGGATATCTGACTTACAAGTTTAAAAACACTAAAAGAAACCATTAAAAAAAAAAAAAAACAAGAATAAAAAACGTTTTAAAAGACACTTTTGAATTGGGAAAAGTGTTTTTAGAGATAAATTTTCCAAAATTCTACACTCTTTCTGTTATTGCCTCCTTGCTCAAACTTGTCCATCTTCAAAATTTAGAGTTCCAATCCTATGTGTTATCAAGCACATTTCCACAGAATCAAAAGATGAGATATAAAGGCTATACCACAAAAGAGAAAGAACAGCTAGAGAAAAAATTTTAAAGATGTATTCAAAAAGAAACATAAAAACAGAGTGGGGATTAGAGAATAAAGGTAGTAATGTATAAAAACAGCAAAAGTAATTTAATTATCCTCATTAAAAACAGTACCACAGACAATAATAAAATACTTGATTACAGTAAAGAAAGCAAATAGTTTTTTTGCTCAAATAGATCTCTTTACTGAAAGGTCTTAGTATCAGAAAGTATCTAATTCAAAGCTATGTCTGAATAACTAGAATTTGCAATTAGAGAACAATCATTAAATTTTTTTACACTGAAAACACAGTACATTTACTGGACAATTAATGTTTACCCTCTATCTATCTTTCTCTCCATCTCTGTCCAATCCTAGTACAAATATGCCCAGCCTTTTGAAAAAGTCTACTGCACATAAAAACTGCAGGAAATATGGGAATTACCTGACTGTACAGCCATCATTAACATCTCAGGTTCCAGCAGAGTCATGATGGATTCTCAGAAACAACAGCCCACAAATATAATGAAGAAATCCAATTTCACAGAAAAAAAGATGTCTTCAGAGGCTACCGAAAGCTTTCATAAATTCAATCTTACACGCCTTATGCGGCAATCAGTCTGTGAGAACTCACTCCCCTTCTCGGAGCAGCTACCAATCTCTCCACCCTTCAGGAAAGTTGAGATGGTACAGAGTTGACTTACTGCCGACAGGAAACCAAAAAGCACTCAAGTTAAGACATATGAAGTGTGGTTAGAACAGTGAGTGAGCTCCTCCCCTTAATATTCGTCTCTTGGGGGAAGGGACAGGCATAGAGACTTTCAGAAAACAGATCAACTGCTCTTTTTCTCTCTCTTGTTAAAAAAAGAAAATGAGGTTTTGTTCAGAACCCTATTATAAGGGACTCTGCTGCTAATGCAGTTTACAGCAACGAATTAAACACACTCCAAACAGCTCAATCTTATGACAGAAACTGTCCAATTACTGACCCATTCATGGGAAGTAGGGATGGGAAACAGATACATACATACAGATAAATATGTATGCTGAGTAAGTTTTCTGAAAATGAGCTCCAACGGTTTTTCATCTGCGATATTTATAGATAACAGGTCAAGGAAGTTGAATATTTAACTACAGAAGCTCAACTATTTCTCTACCCCCACTCCAATTAAAATATCTGTTTCAAAAAAGTCATCTGAATACATTCCGGAGCTGTAATCTCTCTTTCAGATCTACCAATCTCCTAAAAGAACCCTTACTTGTGCCTAAAAGAACTCTTACTTGCGCCTATATGAGACATGTGATCGATGGATAGCTTACTGATGTTATCTGACTTTTCTAAAATGCTTCATGGTCATGTTGGATACAAGGAACATACAGGAAGATAGTTCCAATGTATAAGAATTTTCTTTTCCTGAGAAAGAAACTTCCATCATTTTTCCACTTTCAATCTCTTTTGCACAGAGCAAGATGTGCTAAATAAGAATGAACTCAGCATTTTACTACCCATTATAAAAAAAAAAACTTAATTTTTTTTTAATTACAGCAAATTTTCATTCATCCAAATTAAAAGCTCATTTATTCTCTTCAAAGTACTTTTTAATAATGATATTCATAATAATGATATGAAGACACTTTTCAGCATATTTGATTTTAAAAAGCCGAAAACAAGAAATCCATGTATGGCATGTTTAGCAAGAATTCCTCGATCTTTCTGGTTAAGTCGCAGCCTGTATCTTAAAAGCCTACTGCTTCATGTTTTCAGCCCGGCTTGATTTTATGAAATGAGAGGACAAAAAAAAAAAAAAAAGTTCTGTTTGGAATGCTCTGTGCTCTGTTTTTCTCCCTGAGTTATTGTGATGGACTTCTGGTCTGACATTTTATGGCACAAAATGAAAACTGTTTATTTTACCCAGGCTTCAACATCTGACAGAGTCAAATCATTTAATCTTATATCTTGGATTAAGTGTAAACAGAAGTGTGATAAGATACAACCTGAGGAATGAGTTTAAAAAATAATAATCACCACTTGAAAGAGTTTTTATAAGCTTTATCCTGTTAATTCTATTTGATTGCATTAGCACTACCACTGTTTACAGGAATGAGATTTTGTGATGTGGTATTATTATTATTTTTTTTTTCTTTTTACTGTTCAACAAATGTTCAGTAAATAAATGTCAGGGAAGTCAGGAAATTCTGTATCAAATTCCAACTTGCTTGGTGTTATTTCTGTGATTTTTAAAATCAACACAGCTATATGTTTTGTGCATGGCTAAGTCGAAATCAACTCAACAGAAACTAACAACAGGCCCAACTCAATAAAAATATTTAGAAACCCAAGAAAAAAGAAAAAAAAAAAAGCCTATTGCTGCGCACAGCCCAGGGAATGCCTTAATCCTTACATAGTCAAACAAATGATAAATGAAAGCACAAAGAGACCTTAAAAGAGAAAATGGCCTCAGAATGACTGAAGGTAATATTCTGTCATTTAGAAAAGAGAAACCAATGCAGATTTGGGGTCGAGGAGATTTTGACAAAACTTCCTTTCTTTCTCACTCCAAGAACATTATGTCTACAAGAAAAGCTCTATATAGAACTGTGGGGATGACTCAACAGGCAGTGGAGTGGCAGCCAGTGAGGGCTAAATGCCGCTCTTGGAAGACAGGCCTGCGTCCAACAGCATTCACACTGGCCGCTGTGGCAAACAAGCTTCCAAACTGTCTTACGAGAAACGGGCACATTTCAACTCTCAGCCTACATGATAGTCTGGTCAGGGGTTAGCAGCCAAGGTGAAAGCATCCCTAATAGGATGACTCATTCCTATGTCCCTATGTGGGTGTACAATTTGCTGTGTGAGGGTTTTCAAAGGAAACAAGTTCTCACAGTTCTGTATTTACAGGTAAATAAATACAAATTATAAGATCCCTGCACAGAAGTTGGTAGGAAGGGCAGAGGGCTGTTTCCCTCCTGCCAAAACCCCTCTCTTCTGTTGTAGAAGACTGTTCAAAATACTACCACCATCAATATTCCAGCCCCAGGAGAGATACAGACAGTCATACTGGTAGTAACAATAATATATCACATTTCAATTGATTTGTTAACTTTTTCAGAGCAATTTCATGCCCATTATCTCATGTACACTTTGGGGTAAAAAAGCTAAAGAAAAGAAAATCAGTTTTTCAGAAAGGAATCTAAAAAAGTAAGCTTAAAAAAGAAACCACAAGCAACGTGATCTTGCCTACCTATGGCTAAAAGTTTGCATTTACTCTAAAGAGTATTAGCACGGTGACAGATTCATTGTGAAAGCAGACTTTAAGACAAGTTTCACAGGTTCTAAAAGTCTGAACTCCTATGACAGCTTCAGTTCCACTTTTTTTTAAGTGAATTAGCAAAATTTCATAGAAATACAACAAAAGTAAACTTTAACAAGGCCTCTTGCACAAGTGAACATGATTTTCAAGTTAACACCACTAACGGAATGAACGATACTCTTTTAATTTCTAATAAAATAAGAGCTTCTCTTTTGCTTTTAATCGTAACTCTCTGGCTAAATTAACACAAATTTAATATGATCTACAGCCTCTATTAACTCATGACGCTGCAGGATACCAAGTTTTAAAACGTTTAAGTTATGAACAAAGCTTTTCCACCACCCCCACTCCCCATTAACAGACTCCCCAGAGGCCTTTAATGTTCATGATCAAGATAACCAGACAAGTTTTTATGCTAGCTGATCTTTCTCCTGGATTTGTTATAGTTTCCATATTCTTCTTAAACGTCCCACTTCCTTGTTTTTCTTAACCCTACTTTCCTACCTCTCTGACCTTTTCCTCTCAGAATTACAAGTGGCTCCCCTTTCTTTGCCCTTCTCAGGGGCATTCCTGGGTAATTTCGTCCTCTTTTACAGTTTTAACTACCACCTAAAGACTGACTTATGTCATTTCAGGTCTTTAATATTTTCTTGCCTTAACATTTAAAAATTTACTATAGAAATGTTCAAGCATACACAAAAGTAGGAAGAATGGTATAATAAACTGCTATGTACCCATCAAGTAGCCTCAAAATTTACCAACATACAACCAAAATTGTTTCATCTATCTTGCCACAGCCCCTGCGCGCGCGCGCGCACACACACACACACACACAGCACAGGGCAAACAATGGAGTACTCTGAAGCAAATTCTAGACATCATATGATTTCATCTTAATTTTGTATATCTAAAAGCCAAGAACTATTTTTTTACATAACGATATCATACCTAAATTTTTTAAATTCCTTAATATCACCAACTATTCAGTCTTCAAATTTTCCTGTCTCATAATTTTTTTAGAGTTGATGTATGAAAATCAGAGTCCAAAAGGGACACCACATGGCATTTCACTGATGTGTCTCTTAATTTTCTTTTAATCTATAGATCCCACTTCTCTCTTTGCTTTTCTTGTAACTTATTTGTTGAAGAAACCACGTTGTTTCTCCACATCTTGGATTCTGCTAAATGTATCCTCAGGGTGTCATTTAACACGCTGCTGCATCCCCTATGTTTCCAGTAAATTAACCAGTGCTGTCAAGTAGACTCCAACTCACAGCAATCCCATGTGCGTCAGAGGAGAATTGTGCTCCATAGGATTGTCAATGGATGATTTTTTTTCCAGAAGTAGATTGCCAGGCCTTTCTCCCCAGGTGCCTCTGGGTGGACTCGAACCTCCAACCCTTCGGTTAGCAGCCAAGCAACCAAGCACATTAACTGAACCACACAGGGACTCCTTCCAGTAAATTAGGAGTTAGATATAGAGGTTGATCCAATATGGGTTAAAATTTTTCACAAGAATATTTTCGCACTTCACAAATAGCTTCTTAACTTTGCTCCTCCTCTCCAGCCTTACTTCTATCAAGAGCCATCCTTATTATCAACTTACTTTTACTCATTCTTCAAACCTCAGCTTAGGAGCTGCCTTCTCCAGAAAGCCTCCTTTCATCCTGGCACTCTCACACCCTCCTCACACCCTCCAATGACAGGTTAAAAACCCTCACTTATGCCCCGCGAGGGGAGTCCCTAGGTGACCAACGGTTAAGTGCTAGACTACTAGCCAAAAGGCTGGTAGTTCAAACCCACTCAGAGGGGCCTCGGGAGACAAGCCTGGCAACTTGCTTCCAGACAGGCCTGGCAATCTGCTTCTGAAAGGTCACAGCCTTGAAAACCCTATGGAGTAGTTCTACTCTGCACACGTGATGTCACCACGAGTCAGAATCGACTCAAGGCAACTAACAACAACAAATGTCCCCCAGCATCTGTGCCCACCTCTGTTGTTTTGTTTTTTTAATGGTACTTTAGATGAAGGTTTACAGAACAAACTAGCTTCTCATTAAACAGTACACATATTGTTTTATGACAATGGTTAACAATCCCACGACATGTCAATACTCTCCCTTCTCAACCTTGAGTTCCCTATTATCAACTTTCCTGTACCGTCCTGCCTTCTAGCCCTTTCCCCTGGGCTGGTGTGCCCCTTTAGTCTTGTTTTGTCCTATGGGCCTGTCTAATCTTCGGCTAAAAGGTGAATCTCAGGAGTGACTTCATTACTAAGCTAAAAGGGTGTCTGGGGGCCATACTCTCAGGGTTTCTTCAGTCACTGTCAGGCCAGTTATTCTGGTCTTTTTTTGAGTTAGAATTTTGTTCTACATTTTTCTCCAGCTCTGTCCAGGACCCTCTATGTGATCCCTGTCAGAGCAGTCAGTGGTGGTAGCTGGGCCCCATCTAGTTGTACCGGACTCAGTCTGGTGGAGGCCATGGTAGTTGTGGTCTATTAGTCCTTTGGACTCATCTTTCCCTTGTGTCTTGTTTTCTTCATTCTCCCTTGTTCCTGAAGAGGTTAAACCAGTGAAATATCTTAGATGGCCGCTCACAGGCTTTTAAAACCGGAGACGCTACTCGCCAAAGTAGAATGTAGAACATTTTCTTTATAAACTATGTTATGCCAACTGAGCTAGATGTTCCCTAAGACTATGGTCCCCACAGCCCTTAACCCAGTAATTCAGTCCCTCAGAGAGTTTGGATTTGTCCAGGGGGCCTCCATGACCTTACCCTGAACAAGCTGTGCTGGCTTCTCCATCTGCTGTTGTTCTTTACAACATATCTTAAGGTCTCTATTCCTGGAGCCAGCAAGTGTCTGACATGTGGCAGCATTCATAAATGTACGCTAAATGGAATGAAAAGCCCTATTTATTACAGAAAATTCAAACACCATGGGAAAACTTCATAACAACAAAAGAATCACTACCTATCCTAAAAGGACACATACTCTGCTACAATATTCATTAGAACACATGCTAAAGGTATTATTACTTTTAAAAACTACATTAGGAATACTTAAATTATCCAAAGCATTGAAAGATAGGGTTAACATAAATAAGAAAATCCACAACACTTCTCTCAGGGATATTAAGTGTTAATGAGAATGAAAATGCCCAAATTATAGGAAATGAATAGGAGAACCAGAAAAATAGAGAGCCTAGCTCACCTACAAAATAATTAATCTTTTAATAATCGAAAGCTATCAACCTTACTAACAACGGATATTAACATCTAAGACAGAATGTAGTATAGGCAGGTACACACAAAAATAATGAACACCTTTTTATGATCTCTGTGGGATTTCGGACACTGAAATGTAGTTCCGCTCCTATGTCCATTTCTGATTTGGGTTTTCACAAGTGCATGTGTGAGTTTACTGAAGTTCAGCTCTATAAAAATCTGATCATCATATCAAAATTTCACAGGTTCCAA